ATAGGTCCTAGGTTTGCCCCTACATGTTTTCACTGTGGGAAGTTAGGTCACATCCGCCCTAGATGTCATCAGTACCTGAACAATAGGAAAGACTTGAGCATAAAAATGAACAAAAATCAGCTGTCTGTTGGTCAGATTGGATTCCTTGCTGATCAAGTGAATCGTTTAACTCAATTGGTGACACAGCTGTTTGGAAATAATCCCCGTTCTAGACAGGTTTGGGTGAAGAAAAGCGACCTCCCTAATTTGGTTAGAGATCGCGGTGCTCTTAAAAGAAAGAGCATTTATATACCTACTTGATTAGGTATTTTTGATGCATGCTTGGTTCTTGATTGATATATAATTATTGCATGCATCACGTGTATACTGTTTGTTTTTTTTGTTTTGTTGTTTTTCATGCATGTGCATTTTCACCTACGAGTTTTGGCGCATGCATAATTATTTTTGTCTTTGTGTGCTTGACGTTATTTTATTTTGTGTGTATAGTATTCATTGTAGGAAAAATGAAAAACATAAAAACATTGAAAAATAGAAAAAGATAGAAATAGTTGGTTATGAAAATTTCTACAGTATAACATATGACTTTGAGTTTGCACGTTATATCATGTAAGAGCTAAAATTGATAAATTGTAGAATAATTTCCATTGTTTGGTTAGGTCTAGTTGGATTAATCTGTATAAGTGTCTTCAGTACTATCTGCATTGCACACACTATGAACTTGTTCGTGGGACTCTACCGCGTGTGTGAAATTTGGGATGGCTGTCACATATTGATGGGGTGACTTTGAACATGAATTGACCAATTTTCATAGACTTTAACCCAAAAATTTCTCCCAATTTTAAATGCTCATATCTTAATGTTCTTCTTTGGGGCCTATTTGACTCGAACAATTAAGCCTGCGGGATCTCTTAAAACCTGGTGCCTATGGTCAACTGACTTGGGTTAACTGGCTTAAAGCTCGCTACATGGGTCATCTTAATCGCCTAATGGAGAAAAACCTGCACTTAAGATGAAAAATTAATAAGCTGGAGAAATGAGAAAAATATGAAAAAAATATTAGAAGCTGAAATACTTTGAAAAATTGAAAAACAAATAAGCTCATAGTAAGGGGGAGATAAGTAAAAATAATAAGTATAGGTCCTACTACGCGTTACATGGTTTGACTCTTATTAGTAGGAAAACATACTTATTAGCAGTGATTGGTATGTTCCTTCTCAGAAAATTAAGATTTGGAGTCCTACTTGCATTGGATCAATGACACTTTACACACATGAGTCATTTATATTATTACTCTATTCCGGACTGAACTAAGTATGTGGAGAGTTATACTACTTGTTGATTTTGCTTTTACATGATATCAATTGCATTTTTTATTATTATGTGTTATTGTTCGACTTGGCCTTAATGTATGTCCCTTCAGCATTTGTGACAAAAAGGGGGAAAGAAATGTGTAATTGAGGGGGAGAAAAAAATAATGATTGATCATATACATATGAGAGCTACTGCATTTGCAATGTGCATACACATAGGAGAGTTACTGCATTTTCAATGTGCACATGATTTCATTGATTGACATTACTTGCATTGCTATGTTTAGGGGTCGTTGGGGAGAGATATAGATACATTTACTTACTGCATAAAAACATGAGAGTTTGCAGTAAGGGGAGCGTTGCATTGCATTTCATATCACACCCGTCTGTTTGAGTTTTGATGTTTAGTGGTGTTGATGTTTCGGTTGGTGTTTTGATTGACATCAATATCACGTCTCAAACTAGCATGTTGAATTGTGATTAAATGTTTCAATTGCTATATTTCATGTATCACGAGCTTTTTACACTGGGTATGTGAGTTTGTGAATTTCAGGAAACAGCTACAAGAAGGAATGTAAGACTTAATTATTAGACTTACTGGGTGGTATAGTTTTGGTTGTTAAGTCCTGACTTCATTTGTATGGTTTTGTCACAGAATGCCAAAGGGGGAGTTTGTTAGGTCTAAAAGTGTAATTGGCGATTCTGTGGACAAAACGAGCTAAATTGTATAATTGCAAAAGTCAGGGACTTAATTGAACATTGGTATAAAAGTCAGAGACTTAGGGTGCAATTTTTATAGATGAGGTAAATTAGTGTTCGAGTTTTTGAAGGAGTCCAAGATGTCCAAGAAGATCACACAAGATCATCGGAATGCAATTGTAAGTCTAAAAGATATCAAAGAGCCGTACAAAATATGTTTTGGATTTTCAGTCATAACTTTCAACACATTTTTCACATAGAAAACGTTGAAATTTGGAAAAGGATATTTCTAGAAAAATTGTATCCCTTTGAGTTATCTTTCCAACGCAACTTAAATCACCTCAATCGGACATTAAAAAAGAAAATTATGATAAAAATACTGACAACTACTCACTGTCGCTCGCTTCTCGCTGGCATTTCGCTCGAGCGAAAAAAACAGAATACCTCTCGTTCGATTCTCGCTGGCTCTCGCTCGAGCGACACTCCTATGCGGCAAAAACTCTATTTCACATTTTTGAAGTGTTTTACTCGGCCCATACTACCTAGACACCTTCAAATAAATACTCAAACCCTATGACGAAATTGAAGAGGTTACTACATTATTCTTTCATTGCAAAAGATATTCATAACATCTTTGAAAAGATCCAATGTGCAATTAATTGGACATTTCATCTATATCAATCTTGTGATCCTACAACCATTGTTTTTGGAAAAAAACATTGAATCTACATAATCCAAAACACCTTACTTCCTTAATCTATTAAGGAAGTGACTCTCTCATTGGAGGATTGAGAGATGTGGATTGAGGCACAGTTACAAACATAAGAACGGATGGTTTTTGGTGTTTCACTTTGTGATACAATCAGTTAAGGACTAGAAGGTTGTAGTGGACATTAGATTGGACTGCAGGAGGTAGATCAGGAAGTCTAGCAAGATGCTAGAAGTATCTACAGCAGTAGATCGTGAAATTGGAACAGCGGGTCTGATTGGGTACGGAGTTTGGTATAACTTGTACTTGCTGAATTGGTATAGTGAATGTAACTGGCTTGGTCTTGGAGTTTTACCCACGTTTGGGTTTCTCCATCATCATATTGTTTGTTATTTACTGCTTTGCATAATATACAAATTCCGACTTTCTAACATAGGTTAATTGACTTGTATGATTAATCACCTAGACAACTAATTAAAGTGACTTGTTGCTTTAGTTAGATTAGTTCCGCATGTAAGGTCAAATTGGTTAAAGTGAAATCTAGAACGTAAACTTGGTAACGCATAAAATTTGAACTTGATACTGTATCATGTTAGTCGAACTTTCAAGCATATCTAAGCATTCTAGGTCAATTTTTTTTTTTTCATTTCTAAAGTTTATTAATTTGTAATTAATAGCAAATCAAATTATTTACTATTGAAACTCAACTTTTTTCTTGAGAGTTCTTCTTGTATGAATTAGAGTGCGTTTGATTGCAAATATGAAATTTACATAGAAAGAAAATAAATTATATATAATTCAATTGCTTAAAACTTATTTGCATGAAAATTGTCAATTAAATATGTATGATTGATTTAATTTTTAACCTAAAAAATATTATATTTGTCCAATTTTTATTGATGGGTAGATAACAGAAAGTGGATAGATGAGAGAAAGAAAGAAAGTGAATTCCCTAACAAATAAAATCATACTCTTCCTAAAGAAAGCATTTTTCTTGAATTTGAGGAAAATATGGCCACGCGACCAAAAGTGAGAAAATATTTTTCATGAAAAAAATGTCAGTCAAACAACACGAAAGTAAGAATTTGAATGGAAAAAATACATTTTTCATGAAAAATATTAACATTTTAATGTACCCTTAGAGTGAAGATTAAATCGATTCGTTGTAGAATGAATATAGGAAAATAATTCAAAACAATGAAGAGAACTAGTGAAGAAAAGCACGAGTCCACAACTCTTCAAAATGGGAATGGTTTCATGACGCATCTCTGCCCCAATCTCCACTTATGCGAGGTAGGTTCGGGGGTGGAATGGGACTCAAAATTTCCTTTCATATGTATGTTATTAATCTTTGCTCATGTTATTATTATAACATTTATGTTTCCAATGATTTTTTGTGCCATTCTTATCTTAAAACTTTTTATTAATTAACACATTTTATATTTGATAATAATTTTATATCCAAATATTTGTCGATATGGCATAAAACAACTTACTTTTTCATCATATTTTAAAAATAAAAAGTGTAAAAAAATATTTTTCTCTCATTTCAAAACATGAAAACAAAATATTTTAATATAAATTATCATCAAGGACAAGACTTATTAATTAATGAAATGTTGAAAATAATAATTTGACAGAAAAAATTAAAAAAAATTGCTATAATGAGTAAAGATTGGAAAGCTTAATTGTAATTAACATGTGGTGTATCAAATAAAAATTGTAGTGGTAATATAACTACCCATATTTTAATACTATTTAAATTATGTATTATAAATTATTAAATCGATATATTTTCACGGATCATCTTTTTAATGTTTAGGCTATAAATATATTTTTCACATTATATTATTCTTTATATATAAATAAATAAATATAAATTTTTAATCTGGGCGAGACAAGGATGGCCTAGTCTATTCTCGACTCGGGTTAGGGTTTAAGCCCCTGTTCCCTTGTCCCCCCAATTAAGTGGTAATCCCAGTCTTGTTTCAAGATGAATCTTATAGAAATTAGAGAAATTCTACCACATTGTCATCCCTACTTAAAATATTCTAATATATCTTCTAGAGATCAATTCTGACTTACTTTTTTCATTTGATTACATCCCAAAAAATCTTCTAGAATTCTTAGTCATATCTATATTCAACCGTGAAAAATGAGGCCAACCATTTCTTTTATCATGTACCATCCAAATTGATGGCCTTCATAACTGTTTTCTATTTTTAGTTCATTTTCATAATTTTAAGTGACATAATTGCCCTTCCTTCATAACACTATAAATTCATTTACCTTCATTCCTTCCCACGCCATTCCAAGCCACCACACGGAGAAAATGTCTAAGGTCATCGCACTTTGTGTAATAACCCTCCTATTTCTAACGTTGTCCCATACCTGTGCCCGACCAGAGCCAACATTTCATGACATCACTCCCATGGAAACTCATAAAGAGGTAAGTATTTAAACGCGTTTTTTTTTTTTGAATCATTTTCGTTTTATTTATAAGTTTATGAATCCTATCGCGATATTTGATTATTGATTATTTTATTTACTTGTGCTAATTAGGACCATGAAGAACATATGACAGATATGGATCAAAAGAGCTGTGATGGAATTGGAGAAGATGAATGCATGATGAGAAGAACCCTTGAAGCTCATCTTGATTATATCTATACGCAGAAACAAAACCAACCATAAGATTTTCTTTCTTCTTTTCGACGAGTTATACATACATATACACGTGCGCACGTGCACATATATATGTACGTATAACATATGCTTGATCTGTTGTGCCATAAGTATTTCTATTTAAATTATATTTATCAGAGTATCTATCAGCTGTGAATTATTTGCCATTATATGCCCCGCGCTATATACGAATATATCTATAAATATTTCATCAGCGCATTCATTGTGTTTCCCTTGTTGTATACTTTTTTGCTTTATATATCATTTCGTGTTTGAATGATTTTAGTTAGATAATTTGTTTTTCATTCATTAATAATTAAAGTGTAGACGGTTAAGAAGGCAATATAGAGGCTAAAAAAAAATTATGTGCCCGGTGAAACTTGGCTTGTTTAGATGAGTTAAATAGATAAGCTAGCAGGATTTCAATTACATCGAATTAAAATCATTTTTCGAATACGATAAATAATTGAAACTCAGAAAACTTGTCCTTGTTATGATATTATATTGCGTTTTTATAATCAAGTACATGCATAACTATGTGTTTTCGTAACCAATCACGATTTCTCTTAACCACCAAATTTGGAAATTTTTTAGGGGTTAATCATCAAAGTTTGTCGAATGAGATCAAAATCATAAATCCAAGCAAACGATTGGTTTACTCAAGGACCAATCTCATACTTAAATGAATCACACCTCGGTACGGCGTTGATCAAATTAAACTACTTAATTTTCTTGTGGAAGAGTGTTAAAATGCTTATAATTGATTCAGCTGTGCTACTGAGTCGGGCTCAGTACCAGGCTCAAAAATAGGGGACTAAGGTGGCATCACTTCAACCCCTCATTTCACATCTTTTCTTTTCTTTTTTTCCAGATCCAAGGATCGAGATGTTGCCACCTCGACACCTAGATTTAGCCCTGTTTTTGGGACTGTTGAAGCAGGTTAATGCTAATTGATTTGGACAGTTGGACCCACATGTCATGTTTTATTAAGAAGCAATTATTTTCACTTGGCATGGATTGTTACCAAGAATAGAGTATGTGTGGATCACAAGGCTCCACTTGGAGACATCTTCATTACTAAATGAGACCAAATTATGGGCATTACCAGCAAGT